GTGGATAAGGAGGAGGAGCATGCGTTAGCTACCGCGGAATTTTACTATTAACACAAAAGGAATAGGTTGGGGCAAAAGTTCTTCTCGGAGCACACGGTGGACATCATCGTTTGCGACCATCCGACCGACCATCTTGTCGGTTATGGTCGTCGAGCTCGAAATTCATGTGGATATACTTCAATACAGCTTTCCCAAGATATCTACTTAAGAAGAGAAGAAGTTCTTTGGGAAAATGTAGACCCGAATGAGTAAATCCTTGAGACGGCTCGTCGTCAGACTATGGGATGCATACAGAAAAAAAATGAATAATTAACCGTGTTCATCAAATGATTCTATGGTTGGACGAAGTCTGCGGCAATACGCATTACATGCATTTTGTCACGGCGTCGTGGTTTGCTGTGCCCGTTTAAGAGTGCCCCATTTGAGTTCATTGCTTCTAGGAATTCACCGTCTTTCTTGATTGGGTAGGTGCCTAAAATGTGTGTGTTCTCCCACGTGAATTGAGGTCCTCTTTCTAGTATTGTATAACGGCTTGGGGTAAAGGATCTCGTCTTCTGAGCGCTAACTGATGTTCGCGTACGTGGTTTGAGGAGACGGATTTCCCAGTTTGGCCCCAATAAACGGCACCACAACTGACACATGAGAACAAAAACCTTATCTATCCAGGTAACCAACGTTGCTCTTAGCGTCTACACGCTATGCTAAATGCGCACTTACCAATCGCATCACGGAATATTACCGGTTCCTTTGTGCCCTCGAGCCCCACCAGTTGCCACAAAGAGGGGACAAGACAGAAATGTACTTACTTACTTGTACTTGTTAGTGCTGTGATCGTGCCTAATCTAGCCGGCCTCAATGATGTCACAGATGGCACCTCTCCACGCGTGACGATTGGTGGCAGCGGATCTGGCAAGCTCCAATCAGAAGACAGAAATGAGAGGTGGGGTGGGTGGGTATATTGCTGGCTAAATGTTTCGAGTTTTTTCTGCTTCCATTTAGCCAACCGTAAACCTAACCACC